CTCCAGCCTGCTGGACTGAAATTGCCCCAGTGTGCCCCTCCTTGATATTCCGCAACCCACCACCAGGGTTCCGACACATAACACACTTTTTTCAGGAAAGTAAACCTCCAGGGGTCCTTTCCATATTTTTACAGAGACTGCATAAGGACCGTTAGAAAAGCATTACCCATTGATTATTAAGCTTGGACCAGTGGGGTCCGGTGTTCGGGCCCCACCACGTAAAACCAGTCCCCATGACGTGAGCGGAATCTCAGGTTATGGAACCCACCAGGAGTTGAAAACAAGTGCACACACACACACACACACACACACACAGACACACACACACACACACACACACACACACACACACACACACACACACACACACACACACACACACATACACGTTTTTGTTACCTGGTGGGTCCCTTTGACAGGGCCGTTCAGAATGGGACCCATAGACATAATCTTTTTTTACCAAGACTTTAAGTAATACAAAACAGTCAATAGAAACCAAACAACTATTTTAAAGGAATTTTATTTTAGATTTTGTTTTCGAATTGCAGTGATTCTATTTTTGACATAGAATTTAATGCCACTCCATGTCCGATGTCTAAGGTCATCTGGTGAGGCATTAATGCAGGCCAGGCAGTGAGACTTCCCAGGGACCTTTCCAGTCTGTATGAAAGGTGTCATGGTCTTCTCCACAGCCTTCACCTCAGATGCAGACCATGGCTTTCTTACACGTTCTAGGGAGAGAAATAAAAATATATTAGCAATATACACTCCCAGGGTGAGGACCAAGCAGCCTGGCTGTAATCCCCCACCTGGTACACTTACCAGAAGGGGCACTGCCACTACCATGGGGTGCATCTGGATGAATGGTTGAAGGTTCTCCGCTTGAAGTTTCTTTTAGCCCGTCCGTTTGTGAGAGGATCTCTACTGCTCTCCCTGTCGCACAGAAAATAAAAATACAAGTGGCCTTTAGGGGAAAAAAATCATACATATTTTAATAATATCAAGAATTACCTTCAGGCTCAATTTGTATCTGGTCGAGGCTCTTTCCTTCGAATTCCGTCACTCTTCCCTGCTCCATGGCCATCAACACTTTGCTGATTTTGGCCAGCTCCAGTGTCCCCTCTGGTAGTCTGTAATATTGCCTGTGGATGCGAATGTCATGGCCGAGGAAGTTGGCAAGTATGTCCATCTCATTCTCTTTCATATTGAGAACTGTAGACATAGTAGCTATGTGCTTTCTAAGTTTGGTTGAGGATAGCATCTCTGGATGCACCGCACCACATTCTTTGGCTACCTGGCGTAGGGAGTCTGATCCCCTGATGTGGGTGTCTGCGCCCGGGCGGGAAAAGAAGTATGGGTTATGGTCAGAGATGGAACAGGCCCTTCTGTTCTCCACCAGCACCTCCATCGAAGCAATCATTTCAGGAGTCAAAAGAACCGGCACTTTCCGACTTCTTTTCCCTTTAATTTCAATGCGTTGAAAATGCTGACACAGCTTTTTCTCAAGTTGGGACAGTCCCAGAGCAATGTCAGAATGGATCCCAGTCTTACTTCTTAAGGTAAAGGCTGTCAGTGGCATCTTTGAAACCTCACCTTCCCTTCTTCGATTGAAAATGATGACCTCACAAAGAGTCAAAACTGCCAGTTTAGACCAATGCTTAGACGTTGGCTCACTTATTAGGGTTTGCACATATTCAGGTCGACATACCTCAATATGTGCATGCATGGCTCTAACGTCCTCAGTCAGAGGGAGCAGGTCCGGAGTGTTCCACTTGGCTTGCCGGAGGGTCTGTAGGGCAGCAGAAGAAACACAGACGTCCCACCTCTTCTCAAAAAGCAGCCGGCTTCGTTGGAGGTTTTTAATAAATAGTTCATCAACACAATGCTCCATTTTTGAGTCACATTCAAGAATATCTGCTAGCTTTCTGAGGCTATGGCCGAGTTTGAGGGCCAAGGATGGAGTCTTGTATTGATTTGTTTCCTCATCATATCCAGCCACAGACCTGACTGCATCAATCACATGGTTAAAGTTGGAAGGAATAAAGAAATCCTTAATTGTTTTCAGTTTCCCTGCGGTTTTTGCTTCGTTAATTAACCTACCGACTTCTCTCATTTTCTGCCTAATGTAATCATGCTTTGTCTTATCATGCCCGTGTTTTAAGTACAGGTGCTCTCCGAGTCTCAGAATCCCCTTTTCTGCTTTGACAACACCCGTGACCTCATCCTGATGCATTGCCGAAATTAAAGACCACAGCTTTTTGCTGATGCCCTCCGGTACAGGCTGGGCTAGGGAGCAGAGGGACTGGACCCTACTTCTACCTGGTTTAGCCTGGGCATCTTTCTGTGAAAGCCGGCACCTGGCCACATGCCTCCACAGCGACTTTCGCTTAAGCAATGCCCCACAGTCTATACAGTGCAAAAACTCACTGGATTTAACTGGGGAATTTGGCTGTTTAGCTGGGACTAAAGTTCCAATGCCGGCCTTTAAAACCTCAAAATTGTGCTCACGGTTTCCACTATTCCTGATCAAATCAAACTGAAGTTTACGTGCTTTAGATTTCACAGGTAGAGCCAATGCTCTGGCTACGTCACTTTCATTTCCATGTTTTCTAGTCAAATGACGGGACATTTTGTGGCAGGACATTGAACAGTAGAGGCAGAAGTGTCTCTTGCTGTATACTCGCCCCCCATTTTTCTTCTTTTGCAGCTGCATGATAACAATCTTATTTGCCTTTGGTTCGTCACTTTCCGAGTCTTGAAGAAAAGTGTTTTTGATTTTTCTTTTTCCATACTTTTTTACAGGTTTCTTCTTGACAGTTAAATCGTCAGAATCTGAGTCGACTTCATCAATTAGGGACTCTTGACTAAGCTGCACAAACAACAAATAATTTGTAATCATTCTATATAACAATTTGAAGTCATGACTTGTAGTCAGCACTTACCAGTGGTTTGTAAGCGTGCGCTTCAGTGTGCTCCTCCATGATTTCTTGCAGCCTAATGAACCACACACTTGCACCTTTTTCTAGCCTGACACCTGATTTCCTCTGTTGTGCTGCTCCATGATTGGCTCCAGCCTGCTGGACTGAAATTGCCCCAGTGTGCCCCTCCTTGATATCCCGCAACCCACCACCAGGGTTCCGACACATAACACACTTTTTTCAGGAAAGTAAACCTCCAGGGGTCCTTTCCATATTTTTACAGAGACTGCATAAGGACCGTTAGAAAAGCATTACCCATTGATTATTAAGCTTGGACCAGTGGGGTCCGGTGTTCGGGCCCCACCACGTAAAACCAGTCCCCATGACGTGAGTGGAATCTCAGGTTATGGAACCCACCAGGAGTTGAAAACAAGTGCACACAGACACACACACACACACACACACACACACACACACACACACACACATTCACACATTCACATTTACATATAGATACATGAAAAAGCAGAACATGAGAAAAAAGCATTTTAAAAGTTTACTCCAATGTAAACAAATATTTTTAATTGTCTATCACTTGAATCTTTATTTGAATCAGTATTTTCAGAAATCAGAAATGTTCATTTGACATTTTTTGTTTTTATTTGTTGATTTTGTACTGTGTGAAGTAATTACATTGATTAGGATTAGATCTGATGAGCCACTTCTTTGAATGAGAATAATATTGGCTGAAATTGTCTTTAAAGTAGAATCAAAATGACTAACCATACACAGTGCCTAACTCCATAACAAGCTGTGTACAGGAACTGTGACACTGCACCATTGACCAGAAGTGCATCGCAAATGACCTGATGTGCTTCAAGTGAAAAGACTGTATCTGGAGATCCTGATGTGCATCTGGAGAGACCAGAACCATGGCTTGGACCCTACTGATGTCCAAGATGACATCTCTCTATGACCTGACCTGATGACGACTGAGACTCACCCTCAGGGGACTCTGAGGACCTGAGGACCTGAGGACCCTGAGGACCTGAGGACCCTGAGGACCTGAGGACCTGAGGACCTGAGAGAAAAAAACCGGGGAGTGATGTTTATATTTCTAAAATCATACATTGATGAGTGCTAAATGAGACAGATTCTCATGATTCTTTCTTTTGTTTTTGTTTGTCCCTAGCTTCTGGACATCTGATGATCTATTGGACACAGACATTTGCAGAACAAGAACCAGCCAATGAAAAATCATCTGCAACACATGTAAAGTATTCAGACATCTGACAGACAAAAACTTTGACTTTTTAGTCTGGGAGACTGAGCAACTGTTAAAATGAGGCGGAGGTCCAAAAAGTTAAAGGTTTATTAAAACAGGTGCAAAAGAACCACTGTTTGATCACAAAACAAAATGCTCCAAAAGGGGTGAGGTACAGACACAGGACCCACTGGTCCCACGGACGGTCGAAGTGGCAGAGAGAGTGAGCCTGGTCTCGATCCCGGCCCTTTATGCCTCCCAGCTGATTACCCACAGGTGTGAGTGGGACGTCACTCAGCTGGAGGTGGGAGGGTCTGACAGGTGGAGGCAAGGAGAAACAAAATACCAAAACCAAAAGGACTTTGTCCGTAACACCTCCCTCCATAAAAACTAAGGTCTACCCCTCTTTAACAGGAAAACAAGTGCTTCCAAAAAACAACAATTATGGGAAAGGATATGGATGCCACCACCACCTGCGACCAAGTGGTGATGTGTGTGCCCAGTCACACGATGAGGCCTCAGCCACAACATGGTCCTTTCCCCTCCTGTGCTGGATACGGACGGTGTGGTCCAGAGTCAGCAGCGCCCCCTGCATCAGCCGTTGATCTGGGTCGGACATCAGGGCCAGGGAACCCAGGTTGCTGTGGTCTGAAAAACAGTGACACAAGGCGACCCAACACAAAACGTAGGCGCTGCAGAGCCAGCAGCATTGCCAACGCCATGCCCATGAAGGACAAAAACCGAAACACCAGGGTCAAACTGTCTGATTTCGGTAGAGACCTCGTCAAGCAGTTTGGTTGGTCCAGGTATGCCGCAACTTAACACAAGTCCAGCCAGACTGAACGGAAACCAGCCTTATCTGTGGGTGGAGGGGACACAGAAATGATTAACTCTGGCTTCTCAATGTAAACCGTGGTGTCATCAGTCCGTCCACACGAGGGCGCACCAACACCTGCAAAATCAGGAGCAAGCACAGAATTACCAACGTCACTCTGCCTCCCTCTTTCAGACTGAGTCAAAACGCTCATGGGACACACTTTTCCACCTGCACTGTCGCTCCACATGATGGACTCCACCCCATCAATTGGAGACTGGTCACGAGCAGCTACAGGGAAAACTCCAACCACGTGCGCAGGACTAACATAAGCACTATGAGCCTTGGGCCACGACTCACAGGACCGCAAAATAGCACCTTTCACGCAGTCATAGTCCAAGATGTCTGAGACTGCCAAAGATGCACACGCTTCAGACGCCCTGCCACTTAGGTTGCACTGCAGAAGGATTGCCCACATATCCCTAGGCCAGTGTAATGCCCCTGCAATGTGCTCAAAAACACCAAAATAGGACTCAACCTCCGTCTCACGGAAAGTTGGAAAAAGGTGGATGTTTTGAGTCACGTCAAACTCGGGTGGACTGACCACAGGTGACGAAACTGGACTGCAACCCGCTGATTGCAACTCCAATTGCCGCATCCTAAGCGCAGCGTCAGCCTCTATCTTTTTAAAGGCCACTTTGCAGGCAGTAACAGCCTCCGCTTTAATACGCTTCAACGCAATCTCACACTTTAGCTGAAAGTCACGCTCCTCCTTCTCCCTCTCGTACTTTAAACAAGCAATGCGCACATCCATGCGCGCATCACAGGGAGAACGTACCAGGGACTTCACCTCAGTCTCTTCAAACAGTGCAGAAGGAGAGCCCACCTTAGGCTGCTCCACGCGCTCTACACCAGGACGCACGGGGGACATCACTGTATCTCCCGCAGTCACAAGTCCAAGCATATCCATTTTGCTACACAAAGTCAACGCTGACTACACCTGCTGCTGCTCTCCACAACGACACGCCTCCTGGGATGTGCCAAGTACGCGCCCGCACACAGCTACGCTCAAAACTTACGCACATTCACGGGGGAAAAAAAGTTATGCAGGGTGCATTAATGAAAATCAAATCAATGTAGTTAAACACAAGAATTGAACCCAGACTCCTACTCAGGAACAACTAGACCTAGATATCTTCTGGGACTTGCCGGGCTCGAGGCATGCAGCCCCCGTCAGAGAATCCACTCCGCCCAGGATTCGTCCCGAAAATAATAAACTAAAACAAAAAACGGATGCCCGAAGGAATGGCGAATAAATCAACCAAGCTGGACACCCCCCTAGTCTAGCTGGGTCAATTCAGAGCACACAATGCCAGATGCACCCAGTCACACACACAACTCACCCAGAGCGCACAGATGACTCCCGTGCACCCACCGCAGTTCCACAGAAACCCGGACGAGCCCCCACGTATTACGAGCCACTAGGTGTTGAAGTCTAGAGAGTGTGACTCAGTAACACAAAAAGAACCGGGGGTGGAACATAGACAGGAAACGGGGTCTAAAAAGTAACAAGGTTTATTTACATATAAGTAAATGTACAAAAAGATCACACGGGTGGAGGAGCTCAGACTGGAGATTATCTCTTGGACAGTTTGATCATTTACAGGTGCAAAGTAAGTTAGCTCAAAGAGCCTTTTTGGCTGTTGGATGGTTATCTGTGGATTGGAGACAAGGGCGTTTTTGATGCCTTGAACCTTGTCATTGAAAAAATGTGCAAACTCATTACATTTACGTTTGGAAGTTAGCTCTAATGGCATTTGAACAGGGGGGTTTGTTAATCTATTAACTTTTGAAAACAGAACACGCAGATTGTTGCTGCAGCCTTCAATCATTTCAGAAAAATACCTTTCTCTCGTACTACGTAGCACCCGGTTAAACTCACACAACTTATCCTTGAAGATCTCGTAATCAACCTGGAGGTTGGACTTGCGCCACTTCCGCTCGGCCCTCCGGCACTTTCTCTTTTGTGCCCTGACCGAGTCTGCTTTAGCCCACGGCGCCTTCTGCTTATTTTTCACTATTTTAACCTTCACAGGGGCAACGGTATCCAGAACATTCAAAACACTAGAGGTGACAGAGTTAAACAGTTCATCTACAGTAGAATACGATGCATTCTCAAAGTTTATCATTCCCATAAATAGTTCACCCGTATTTTCATGTATGTGTCTTCTTCGTACAGTTGCAGAGTCCACTGGTGGTTTGTTAGTGAAACACATGTCAAAAAATACACAAAAATGATCCGGAAGCGCAACATCGACCACGTTTACATTAGAAATGTTCACCCCCTTTGTAACTAACAGGTCTAGAGTGTGCCCTCTGCTGTGGGTGGGGCCACTCACGTGCTGAGTGAGACCAAAAGATTCAAGAACAGAACTCAGCTCTTTTGCATTTCTGTCAATAACATTATCCACATGAATATTAAAATCCCCTGTAATAACTAAGCTATCAAAATCTGTGCATACAACTTCAGGAGGAGTAGAGGAGCAGAACACAACCCCATCTACATCAATGGGACGGCGGTGGAGAGGGTTCACAGTTTCAAGTTCCTGGGAACTCTCATATCTGAGGACTTGTCCTGGACCATCAACACCTCCAGGCTCGTCAAGAATTTCCACCAGTGCCTTTTCTTCTTCAGAACTCCCAAGAAGAATCACATGTCGCTCTGCAATAGAAAGCATTTTAACAGACTGCATTATGACGTGGTATGGGAACTGTACTATGGCGGAGCGAGAATCTCTGCAGCGGGTGGTAAAGACAGCCCACTCTCTGCCTTTGAGAACATCCAGAGCCAGCGCTCTGCGGCGGGCTCGTAAGATTGTGAAGGACTGCACTCATCCTGCACACACTGCCTCTGGTCGCCGCTACAGGGGTCTCCAGGCCAGGACCAGTGGCTAAGAGACAGTTTTTATCACAGAGCAGTCACACTCCTGAACTCTCAGCCTGTTAAAGCCCATTAAATAGACCTTAATGTAATGTAATATTGTACTAAAGGCTCAGCCCTGTGAGTGGAGTCACGTGACTTCCTGGTTCATTACTTTTTGCGGTTCTTGGTTGTGCTCCGGCCCGAACAATTTGAAGCTCACTTAGTGTGAAGGGTCCAGCCCACTGTTGCCTTCAGAACTCAGTCACTGATGAAACACTGTGTGTGTGAAGCAATCTGTGCAGCAGTGGCAGCTGCAGTAAAATACGGGAGCTTCAACCCGGTTTCTCCATCTTTGCTCCGCTGCGTTCTGATCGACGCCCCTTCTTGTCCCATGTCTGAGCCCTTCTTGAATTAGCACTATACAGTCCGCCACCTCCGTAACAAATATAATTAATGTATAAACTAGTGTTGTAGAATTAAAATGTTGTCTACTAATGATTTTAAAAACAGGCCCTCTGAAAAATGTGCACTAGGGAAAAGCCCCAAGGACACGAGGATTGCAAACAGGAACAAAGAGGGTCAAATGGAGAACTACAATCAGTCATCCAGATACCAACCTTCAAACCGGGACGAATTATTAACCCTTTAGGCGCCAGAGTTTTTTCAAGAAAATGTACAATTTTGATTTCAAGATTTCAAAAGGCTATAACTTTAAAATGGTTTGAGATAAAGGCATACTGTAAATTAGAAATATCTTCA